CATTATTAGTAAGAACATTCTATTATTAAATAGTAGTTCCAGCTAATACATATAATTAGTAAAGGTACTCTTAAAAAAACAAAACATATTTATTACAAATAACTAACTTAACAGACTTTCTTAATTTATTTAAATTAACCAACTAACTCTTAGCACAGAAGTAATATTTTCAAATTGTTCTAGTCAATCGTCGCTAAAGGGTAACTAAGATCACTTTTAAAAAAATGTTTTCATATATTTACTTTATTTTTAAAATTATGATTTGATTTTTATCTAAATGTATTATTAATTTAGTCATCCAATGTTCAGTTCTTCTTCCTCGTAGTTACTCTCATGATTCTTCAACATTATTATTCACATACAGCGAGTCCTCTTGTTGTATAGAGGATTTTACTTAACAAAAAAAAAAGAAAAAAAGAAAAATGAATGTCTCTAAGGCTGCAAATATTTGTCGCCATAGTTTTTTTTTTTTTTTAATAATTACAAGAGCCCTTGGGGATGGAATATGCAACGTGGCACTCATAATAGGTAAGTGATATGTTTAGGCCGTGAGACCACGGAGCATCATAATTTTTCTTTTCTTGCATACTATACTTACATTTGGGTTGAGCGTTATTTTTGTTTTGAAAGCATTTGTGAATAAGCTGTAAATATCTAAAAGTTTATTTGTCTCAATGTTGTCCCAAAAATATTTAAAAAAAAGGGCAATATCACCTTAACTACTAAAAATAAATGTTGATTTTAATACCTTTTAACGATTAGCATATTATTGCTTTTTCTAGCACTTTTTATGTGACATTGAGTAAAAAATGAAAATTTTGGTTAAAAAAAATTCCTGTTTGAAAATTTAATCAGTTAAAAAGACTTGAATTTGAGAGTGTGTAAATATGATCTGTAAGTACAACATATCTTCTACTATGTATAAATGACTTTCGTATTGATGACTGTTGCACATCGTTGATAATACGTTGCACAAAGCGGAAGATATGTTGTACTCACAGATCATATTTATATTCACTAAAATTCATATTCTTTTAACCAGTTAAATTTTCAAACAGGAATTTTTTACTAATTTTCTTTTAAAAAAAATTTTGATTACCAACAACCCATTTACAAATACTTTCAGAATAAAAATATCCTTAACTTATATTTATGACGTGTTTATTGGACGAAAAGAAATTTTGATCATCTGCCCCCTTTTGGTTTAGAAAAATTGCGGTTAGATATTTCACTCCTATTATTTTTTGTTAAAACAAAATGGAATAATGAATTCTCCCTTCTGACCCTCCCTTCTCCTAATCTTTCTTCTCCTCCACTGAATCAAACACTACTTTGTTGGACATATTTATAAGAAAAACCAATAAGAGCATTATTTTGTACCAAAACATGGGAAACAATTATCCAATGTCTTATGGGCTTATCATAAACTTCCTATTTTAATGTTATTAAAAGCAGTTGTGTTAAGTTGGTGCCGTTAACCAAGGTCAATAAAAAAAAAAAACCTAGCGTCGTTGAATACACATACACCCAATCAATCAATAAGGGCATATGCAGAAAGAGAAATAAATTTCATACATTTTCATTAAATTACACCTCCTCGGTCTAGTCCATTCAAAAACAAAGTCAATGATGGGTTGAGTCAATAATTAACAGTTGTCTTGCCAAATTATTTAATTAACTAACTACAAGTCATCACAATTACTTCCTCAGGTTCAAAATATAAGTACTTCTTTAGTTCTTAGTATAAGATGTATTTAATTAATTTAATTATATTAAAAAAGTTAGATAAGTTAATTAATTATAAGATATATCACATATTTTTTCTAAAACACCATAATTATTTTATTTAATATTATCTATCTCTCTTCTACTTAATTATGATTGTGAAAGTATCAACAGGAGTAATTTAGAAAAACTAATAAATATGATAAATAGGTCTTATATTGAGAACCAAAACCAAGTCGACAATTAGATAATATATTAAGAAAAGGAGAATTATCAAATAACTAAATTGCCCAACTCAAAAAGTTAGTTAAAATCTGTTAAAAACAATAAGTATGTAAAAAAATATAATTTATGTTTTTAAAACACCCTTATTGATAGAGAGAGTAAGTAGGACGGACACTGGGTAGAAAAAGAGTTGAGAGAAAGCAAGTGGAAAAAAATATGAGAAAGACATATAATTAATTAGGGATAAAAATGAATACATACATTAAATGATTAGACAAATCTAAATTATATCTTATGAAAAAAAAAATTCCCTTCAAACATTTGATATTTATGTTTTGAACCAAAGGGAGTGTCTAAATCTATCCTTAGCTTAGATCGATTATGTTCATCTTCAGAGATTTAGAATTATATCATACCCAGTCCATTACCTAATTTCTGTAACAAGATTATATGGGTGGAAACACATAATCAAGAAAGAAGATTAGAAGAAAAAAAGAAGGGTGGGGGGATGAAATATAAAATATCCCAATCCTAAGGTATCCCTTGGTATGAAGCATTTAAAACGAGAGATAGAAATTGAAATTGAGATTGAGAAAATCATGTTTAGCATGACAGGTTGTTTATTATATGGGATTAGACAAACTCATATATATGGGATTGAGAAATGTCATGGGAAAAATGGTGCTTCCTAATTCTACTTCAATAGGTTTGTCTAATCCCATATAACAAGTTATTATTTATACTAAAAGTTTTTTTAATAATTTTTTTATTATAATCCTAGTCTTTATTCTTTATTTTTAATGTTTCATACTAAATAAGACTTAAGAGTCCAAGTTAATGGCTCGTTGAAGAAGGCCAAGTTATTATACTCTGGAAAAAGCTACGGTAGTAGCTAGTGTTGGCATGGAGCCGTTATTTTGATATGCAGGAAGAAATGCAGAGACTAAATGATGGGGAGGATGCAGCAAATGGAAGGAAGAATTACAATCAGCTCTTAAAAAATATTTAATTGCTTTAAAATTTATTGATAAGTAAAATAAATAATAACAAGTTTTAAAACAGAAAATAATAATATATTCAGATAGGGCACTTGTTATTAAAGCTTCTTTGGTAAAAAATTTTTTTTTAAAGCTCTTGTACTTAATGGAAAGCCGAGACAGTGACCATGGAAGCACACGGACCCCACCCGCCCCATGAGGGTATTCCTAGAAACAGAGATGGGTTAGGACGGCGGATCATTTCATAGGCTTCCAATGGCACCCGCACTTGTCTGTTTGTATATAATAATGAAAGATTATACTTCCAAACAGAAGTACTACTTGGTCCCAAAAAAAAAAAACAGAGGTATTACATTCCCGGTCCTTAATATAAAATTTTATTAGATTTTTATTTTAATTTTAGAAAAAAATTTTAAATAAAAGCCCGATCTCACTTTTATAAATATGAAATCGAGGTGAAATATATGAAACACCCTTTAATCAAATAACAGATTGATTATAGGAAATGACAAGTTCATTTTAATAAATGATAATTTCAGTAAACCAAATCACAACTTGACTGAGGGTATGTCAAATGACGAGTTGACTAAGGAAAATAACACGTTCACTTTAACGAATAACAATTTCAGTAAATCAAATCATAATTTGACTAAGGGGCATTTTAGACATTTTACTCACATTTCATATTTGTAAAAATGGGACTCGGTCCTTATTTGTTATTTTCCAAATTCAGGGTCTCAAATCGTAATTTTACATATTAGGATATCTTTATTTGCAATTTTCCCTTAATTTTAAACATAAGAATTCAATCTATTTTTTCTCTTATATTTATTTATTTTTTCAAAATGCTCTTTTTAATAATAGTAATTCTAATCAATAAACTTGATTAGCAAGGATATTTTAGAAAAGATAATACTTTTTTATTATAAATAACTAACTTAACTTATTTTGTTAATCTACTTAAATAAGTCAACTAGCTCTTATATTTAGAATCAGAGGTAATATTATCTTCTTAATATAAGAACTACTTTTATTTTTATTTTGGTCTTATATATCACATAATATATAATACTTTAATCCACTTTGTCTCTTATATTTATTCATTTTGTACAAGGTTTGTCCTTGCACAAACTTTTGTCCTTTAACTTCGTACAATGTTTCAATTTGGTCCCTTAACTTTAAAGAGTATAGTGCTAGTCCTTTAACTCTAAAAATTTTTAAAAAGTGATGAGATTAAGATTTTAAATGTTCATAAAATATTCTCAAATGCTAACATATTAAGTTTAATTTTCAAAACGTTTATGATTGTTACAAAAAATCATCATTGAAGTCTAATGATTTTAGGATTAAAAGACCAAGTGTATGCTTTTTAAAGTTAATGGACTAAATTGAAATATTGTAGAAAATTAAAGGACCAAATGTATACTTTAACCTTTAAATTTTAAATACAACTCTTAATTTACAACTATTTGAAATAATATTTACATCTTATTTTTCAAAATATTTTTTCAAGGACCTAATTGTCATTCATTCTGTCTTTTGGAACTTAAATGTCATTCCCTCAAGTAAAAATGTAGCAACTGATTAATTGTCTCAGATGTCCTAATTCAAGAATTAAAAGTTGAAACATGTGTTTTTCTTTTCTAATATATAAAAAGAACAAATTTCTTTATAAAAATTTTCATAAACCACCATATATACCCCTTGAAGTTAAAGAATAGTGGTCAACCGTAAAACCATGCTAACCATAAAGTTACAGGTACATGTTCTCTTCCCACTAGCTTCTGGGAAATGGAATTTACAGGCCCAAACGAACACAAACATTCTCAACTACTAAGAATGAGGGGGCAAAAGAAGAGAAGGAAGATACAGGAGACAGCTCTAAAACTAGAGCACCCAAAAAAGCCTCAAGAGTAGAGATGCCTTTGGTCTCATTCTCTCGATGTGATATTTCCTTAATAATTAACCCAATACTAACAAGGGAAAAAGGAAACTGGAAAGGACATCAATGCCCCGACAATGTAGACTACAACACCATTAATACACTCAACTTGAAAAAGAGGGACAACCTTATTGGCCTTGCAAGTCAGATACAGACAAGAGTCTAGTGATAAAAGGTGTTATGGCTGCAAGCAAAGCCTTTGGACATTCCTCATGTGGAAGGTGGCCACAGCCAGATATTGCAACTAGCCTCTGCATGAGAATTGGTAAGGGAAGCATGAGGAGGAGAAAGGACAATTCATGATGCAGAAAATCATGCAATTTGTATGAAGAGAAATCGTATTGGTGGGATGCTTACAGAATTTACAAGTTTTGAAGCCATAGCTTGACAAGATTTGAGAGAAACAAGGGAATCTTCAGCACCCGCAATGACCAACACGGGCATGTGTTCCACAGATTGAAGCAAAGATTCTGCGTTTTTTGTTGAAAGTATGGTTTCAGATGACAATTTGCCAATCTCATGAAGCGCTTCGTCCCATCCTTCTACACGTAATGGGGCCTGAAAACATAATAGAACAGTTGAATGTAACAAGATTTGCTGTTTTTTTTTTTTTTTTTAACAGTTCAGAGATTTTCCTGCAGAATAATAAACGGTTTTTCTGCGGGTTTATTCTATTTGCTCATTATTAACCTTGCGACCTGAGACTTGGAATAAAACTGCACCTCTTATCTATATCAACACGAATGGATAAAATACGTTTTAAAGTACAGAAATACCTTATAGAGAGTCAAAACTTCTGATGTCAGCTTGGTAGTATCGTACCAAGCACGCCGATTCACCACTTGAGTGATTTCTGTTCTTAGAAGAGGACGAACCAAGTGCTTCTTTCCAAGTGAGGTATGGAGAAGGATTCTTGCAAAGGAAGGAACTACTTCTCTTGACAAGCTAACGTTTAGTAATACTACCCCTTTAATGGTAACCTGAATAATATGCCGAGCAGATTTCAAGACCTCGCCCAATATGATTCATTAATCATTAACTAGAAAAATAGCGACCTCATAAAATTGCATGTCCAATAGCTGTTTTAATACATACTCAAACGATATACCAAGTTACCTAACCACTAAGTACTCATTCTTTGCAGCATAATTTGAAATTAACATAGAAGGCATGTATCTATATTTCTTCTATTCCAAATGCTGAGTGAGTAGTTTGCTTATTGGAGGAGAAACTAACCGAGTTTTGCAGAATATTTTGAAGTCCAGTAGAGACCCCGTAGGGCCCAAAGTACTGGTAAAATACAAACCATAAAACAGACTCAAGCCATCCCTCATGAATCACTCTCTGTTCATTTAATCGTTGTCTTTTCAATTATTTTAGACACAGCAGTGCAGCACAGTAATTGACTAAGTGGACAAGATCTACGCCAGGAAAATGACAGCCACGCAAAAGAAAGTGGTCTCAACTAAAAGTAACGAACTCTGAGAGTGGGTGGGTGCCGGTGGGACGGCTTATAGAGCCGGGGCAGCTGACATGGTGCGCGAGCACTGGGCAGCAGAGAATTGGTGCGCTTGAGAGTAGGAGCAGGGTGTAAGACGGTACATTGTGATGGTAGACTACTGTTTTGGGGGCGGGTAGGAGAGCTCTGGGCCGGGGTTTTGCTATGTTTTGGGGTCTGCTTTGCAACTGGAACAGAAAGAAGGTTGGGGGTATTCCTGTTCTTACTCTACCAATGTCATTGGAAGAGTCGCAAAATTTTTTGTGATCAAAATATATATTGAGGTTCCAAATTCCAACAAAAACCGATGTTGTACGGGTAACTTGAAATCTGGTTGCATAATGAGGCTAGCAACTTCATCAAAATATTTATTGTAGTCCTGGACCGCATGGCACAAAAAAGTAAGAACCACATACGTTGGAAGAACTCATCGCTGATTGAACTTTCTGAGCAGCCTTCAGAGCAAGCACCCCTCCATCATCATGACCGATAAGCACTACTGAAGAAAAGCCAATCTCGGAACAGAAAGAGACAAGCAAGTCAACCTGGAAGAACAGGTCAAAAGGAAGAAGAAGAAGAATCAGATAAAACCTTGTTCAACGACAGAAAGTTTTATTAAAAATAACCACACAAAGTGGGCTGATTGAATATACAGAGAAAAAGAAAGAGGACCATATTACTGAATATGTGAGTTTTTCATTTCTGTTCCAAAATTTTCACATTTAGCAGATTTCTGCAACCTATGACACCTAACTCCCACGACTTCCTTTCTCATCCATCCCATCAAACCACTCTTCAAAACTAGGAAAAGAAATGTGCAACAAATAGGCTCTAGGCCTTGGAAGCCAAAAATAGACTCTCCCTTCAAAAAGGTAGCAACATTCTCATCATCTGCTTAGCCTATGCCTTAATTCATTACGACGAATATAACTACTGTCTTGCAATACAATGCATACTAATCATAAGAAGTAATCACCTGACTTTCAAGCTTATAAGGATTAGGCAGATTTTTTTCCTCCCACTCTTCCGGACGCTGCCTTGAAGTTAGCCCCCAACCTGGCCTGTCAAATGCAGCAACTGAGCATTTACATTGCCTAGCCAGAGAACCCATCACATGCCTCCAAGAGAAGACTCCTCCACCAAATCCATGCACTAATACAATACCAAATTGGCTATTAGGCCCAATATCGTCCGGATTTTGCTCCAAAGACATAGAATCCAATTTACTTGTCTCATCATCTTCATGAATTCCATCAAGGCAAAAAGAATGGATATCTTCAGACGGAATACAAGAAGTCATGGGACCATCCAAAAGAGGAGAATGTAGAGATGACCCATGGAATTGAATGCTATAGCTCCTGTGGAGTAGTCTCTGCATTTTGGGAGACATGCTAAGCAAATGCCTATTCAAGTTTTCTAAATCCCCAGACATTGATGAAGAGCTGCAACTAGAATTTGGTTCAACGAAGGATGTCGAGGACAAGGAATGTGGAGGAGAACCAGGAAAGCTTATCTTGTAATGTAGTCTTAGCCCTTGGCATGTAATGAACAAGCTGTTCGAATCTGCAAGCAGACTGACTGGCAGTTCTTCCTCGCGAGCTGTCGCATATGGTCTCCTCTTCATCTCAGTGTCACTTTTTGGGGTTCTTCCCCCAGAAGGAGTGGGAGAACGCGGGACCTTTTGATAACCAGAAAAAACATGTTTGCATGAAAGGACCTGCATAATGGACACACGCGCGCACACACACATATATAAATTAGTTTTTGGCAAATTTCAGAAAAATTCTTTTAGCGGCTGCTTATTATTAGAATCATTAAATTCCAAAGATTCCAAACTACAGAATCGATATGCTAAGCACAAAAGGACAAGATAACTCACAGCTTCAGGGTCAACTCGGTGAAGAAGGAGCTTTCTCCGAGCTCTGCATCTGGTTCTATAAGCGACCACAGTGTGGCCAAGGGCCAACACAACTGACGAAAGAAATAGGACTGGTATTCCCCATGACTTCTTCAAGTGGAGCCTCTGTTTTGAGCTGGTTGCTGAAGCTTCCACTTCAATTTGAGAATTTACAGTGAAAACACAAACTTTGACTGATAGAAGAACAACAGAGAGTAACGAACACAGAGTCACAGTTCCAAGGTATGGACCATGGGATAAAGCAGGGCCTTCACAAATGGTATAGACACCTGTCATCGTTAAAGGATGATAAGCTGAATATGAGAAATGCATAAATAAACAAGAGGTGAGGATCCAACGGCACGTGTAATCTTGAAGCTACGGAATAAGAAGAAAGAAAAGCAGCTTTCCTTCTTTGAACTTCAAAGTAGGAGCAAAAATTTAAACCAACGAGGTGAAAGAAGATGCCGGCCCTGGAATAATCTCAGGAATTACGACATTCCCCATATCTCTCACCACAATGTTAATTTAATAAAAAATAAGAAGGATAGAAAACAAGTAAATCAACCATAACCGTCTAATTGGACACTGAGCAATTGAATATAAGTTTAATTATTGAAATTAGATAAGCCATATAAGAGTAAAATTTTGAGAAAAAGAACAAATCAAAAGATGTAAAGCAACACTTAAAACTTATAATAACGATTTTTTTTCAATATGATGAAGAGCACACCAGAAATTATTTTCGAAATTTATCTGGTAACACAAATATTCTCAGAAAACCAATTAAGCAATATTGTCTCCACCGCTTCACAAAAGAAACGAAAACCAATTCATTTAATAAAATAGGATAAATTCACTGCGTGATTCCTTCAAGCACGACAGCAACTGAGGAATCATCATGCAGGCGAGAATTGAACTGGAACAAAAAAACTCAAGAGGGAGATGGGAGGAGAATCATACAGAGAATGATGAGGGATCTTACGACCGAAACGAGAGGAATATCTATCAAGGAGCTCTTGAAAGCGTATCGACGCCAATGCACTTTGAAACTGCGGCAGCTCACGCACATAAAATTAGAGAGCAAGACACTGGGCACCAACACATCGACTAATGCCACGAGCACCGGCAACGACGTGACAAGCAGCGACACCAACATCGCCACCATGAAGAAAACCGTCCGAAAGCACCTGCGAGTCTTCTCGAAGCATTGCCCTCCTTTCGCCATGATCAACAAAACCAAACCGAACACGATCCACCCACCCCAATCCAACACCCGTTCCAAAGAACGACGGCGCTTATAAAATACAAGATGGTTCAAACAATACCATCCTCTCACCGCCAACTATAACTCCAGCATAAAACAAAATCACGCCCTCCGGCGGGGGATTATCCTCCATTTTCCGGTGCCGGTGGAGAAGAAGAATTGAAAGTACAATGCTGCCGGAGTGATTGCAGAGGATGGAAGAAGAAGGGCAAGGAAGATGAGGAGCAAGTGCTAGGGTTACAGTGGTGATGGTGACAATGGAAAATCGAGAGAGTATTGAAGAAAGATCGAAGCTCGGATGAATTGCCAGCCTATTTCTCGCATTCTCCTCCATCTTCATCTCTCGCATAGTTTACTGCTATTTATATTTTTCTGATTTGGAATTTATTTTGTTTTTGTTGTCGGGACATTATTATTAGGAGAAATTGTAAAAAAAAACCTTGGAATTGTAAAAACGCAGATAGAGACCCTTGACAACTTCACTTTGGGTTTTGACAACTTCAGGGCATATTATTCTTGTCAAAACCTAAAGTGAAGTTGTCAAGGGTCCCTATCTGCGTTTTTACAATTTCAAGGTCTTTTTTTGCAATTTTCCCTTATTATTAAATTATTAGAAATTAAAATGGTTATAATAATTAAAATAAAAATAAAAAAGGAGTAAAGATTCTTGGGTTGTATCGTTGGACAGAAAATCCAAAGAATAAAATAGAACAATGGTTGGGGGTAGAGGCAAAGACATAATGAATCAGGCTGTCAACTGACAGCTCTTTTGTGTTTGTGGATTGACGAATTCAGCCTTACCAGTGGCGCTTCCCCGTTTCCAGATTCCTTCCACCGATTTGTCCCAATCATCGTTTTAAAAGCAAACACAATGCCACACTCATTAATTAATTATTCAGTAAATTAAATTATACTCCCTCTTTTTTTGTAAATTTTTTTTTCACTTTTTAGAAGAAATTCACACACTACTCACTAGTTGTTGATTGGAACGGTAAGCGGTTTTATTCCTATCAAAAGAATACGAGTTCAAATTTTAAAAAGCACACTTATTGAAAAAGTTTTAAAGTCTCTAAAGTTATTTATGTGAGAGGAGTTTGTTTGAATTTACATCAAACATTTTTGTAAGTGATTCTAGATGGAGCTTATACTCATATGGCAATGAACAACGTTAGTGTCATTTGATCAAATTCTTTTAAGCATGGTGCATGTACACACATACGTGTGTGGGCAAAGAGAAAAATGTACAGATACATATACACGCACTGGTAAGTCTAACAATTTTAACTAAAAATTGAGACCAAATAATCAAAGCGGATTAAAGAATGGGAGCACATCATACTAATCTGTCTGTTTTTAATGCATGACTAAAATTAGGATTATTATTTGTTCTTCATATGCAGACAGAGATTAGCATCTATCATTGCTGAAGAATATTCATAATCTTAAAAAATATAAGAAAAATTAATCTTTTAATTATTCAAGGTTTAACTCACTTATTATAATTCAGTTTCTCCACTATAACTCGATGTTACTCAATTCCTAAATTTTTAAGTTGCTTATGACTAAGTCTCTAAAGTTTCTACATCTAATAATTTAATCCTTGTTACACATAATTTATTTTTAATCACCAAATAATTATTCTACATGACAAAAAATATCAATTGACGTTTGGCTGAAAAAAACACATAATATGCATACTAAACGAGTAGAGTGGCAGGAAAAGGAGGAATCAGTTTCGGTATTCATCTCAGTATTAGGCATAATAATACTCATCAAATCTCAAGTACTCAGATTTAATATGGAAGTTGAGATTTAATTTTTTATATCTTTGTTTTTAACAAAATGTGTTTCTTTAATAGATAGATAGTCCAAAATAAATACAATATTTTAACTGTAATTTTTTTAAAATAATTTATTTATTTAAAATTATTAATTAAAAATTTTAAATCTATACTACTCCTCCGATCCTTAATATCGGACCTAATTTTTGAGTTAGTTTTGGTCCTAAATATAAAACCCGTTTCTTATATTTATTAATTTTTTCTAAATTACCCCTATGGATATTCTCTCGATCATAATTAAGTAGAAGAATGAGAGGGGGTATTAAGAAAGATAATTATGGTGTTTTAGAAAAAATGTGTCATTTTTTTTATAATTAACTAACCTACCTAATTTTTTTAATCTAATCAAATTAATTAAATAGTTCTTATATTAAAGATTAAAAAAGTATTGAATATTGTAGATTTTAAAATAACAATAAGTCTCATGCGAACCTGGCTCGGGAATGGGGGAGGGGCACAGCGCAGCCAGCGAGGTCCCCGAGAAGGCAACGTAACGGTTGGCAACATTCAAATTAAAATAACTGAAACGGGCGCTGGGCCCCACATCAGTTGGTATCAGTTGTCACCCTCGCTGCCACGTGTTGCCATCATTAGATTAACGTTTCTTCCCCCCTCAAGTCTTAAGTCTTAACCATCTTGTGTTTTTTTTTTCCCTTGAGAAAATGGTTAATTTGTGATTCAAGTAGCCATAATATAAGTTGGTTTAGTTTTCACCTGAAAAATTGTATTTTCATAAACCGACTATAAACTTTAAAAAATTGTTTGCACCATAATTATAATATTTTTAGTCCTAATCCAACTCAAACTAAAAGGTATTAAAAATTTTTTGTATACAGTTAATTATGAAAATTCTAATAATAAAGGTAGCTCTTGAGCATTGAGACAAGTCTATCTTAGTTTAGAAATGCATATCAAGGCAACTGGATCATTTTAGAATATGACAATCCAAGCACTTGACCAATCTAAGTGGTATATTAAGAAAAAGTTAGTCAAGAATGACCTGATCTATTCTAACTTACGTTGTGTTTGGCTCAACTGAAGAAAAAGAAGGGGAGAGATTTCAATAGAGGAAAGGAAATGATAGGGGAAAGGAGGAGAGATACAAAGGGGAGGAGAAGAAAGGGGAGGAGAGGGGAAGGATTTTAATAATCATTCGTTTAGATTGATTAGAGGGGAAGGAAGGGGAGGCATTTTTAATGATACCATATTTGACATAATAGGGGAAGGGATGGGAGCTATTCAAAAATTATATATTTTACTCTATATTGACTTTTTCAAAAATATTATAATTCTTTATCGTTTATTTTTTTGTCCCAATGATTTTTATCATTTCATTTTTTTTAACAAAATTGTAAGTAGTTTGATTTTTCTATTTGAATTGTTGAATATAAGGAAAATGAAGTTGAGTTGATTAGAGTTATTAAAATTGTAAAATTGAGAGAGAAGTACAGAATGAAAGGGTGAAAGAGAGGATAAATGAGAAATTATATTATTTTATGCTAGTTATGAAGTTAAATATTTTCTCTCTCATCTCCTCTTGAAAAAACTTCACTTTTAGGGTATGTTTGGCTCAATGAGAGGGAGGGGAGGGGAGGGATTTTAATGGAAAGAAGGGGAGGGGAGGAGAGTGGAAGGATTTTAATATTATCTTGTTTGGATTTATAAAGAAAGAGGGGAGGGGAGAGGAAAATATTTTAATATGGACAATTTTGTTCTTATTTTATTTAAGATATGGGCATAATGGTCACAACATGACAAAATATGGGCATAATGATCATAACATGGCAAAATATGGGCATAATGGTCACAACATGACAATGTATTACCCTTTCCCTCCAAATCCTCCCAATTTTGGAGGGGAGGTTGAGGAGGGGAGGGGATGGAAAATTTTAAAAAATTTTCCCTCCCCTCTTAAAATTTGTGTGTTGCCAAACAAGGAAAAATGATTAAAATCCCTCCCCTTCCCTCCACTCCCTCCCAAATCCCTCATACCAAACACACCCTTAGACAAGAGACTAAGAGGAGGAAATGAGAGCCCCTTCCGTCTTTAAAAATTGTTTTAGCCAAACGAGGGGAGAGGAGCAGCTTCCTTCCCTCTATTAAAAAATGTTCCGGCCAAATGAGGGGAAGGGAGCCACCTTCCTCCCTTCTGAAAACCCATAACAAACACAATGTTAGAGTGACTTCTTGGATTAGATGGATTATCTAAACTAGATACTTTAACTTGCAAGTAGATAAAATGATGTTTTCTTCTTTCTTTTTCAGACATAAAAAATAAAAATAAAAATGGCTAAATTTTGATGTTTCAAACTTCATTGTTCAAACATGTCTCGGTCTTTTGAAGTAATTAGTCCTATTCTAATGTGACTTGAAGAAATATGCCTGCTAGAAGGTGATTCTTTGAGCCTATTCACCTTTGGAACTTCATACATTAGAAAAGTTATTTTACCTCTTTAATTGCACAATTTTTAAGTCTAGTTACAAAATCCCCGAAGAACGGTAGAAGTTTAACATGTCACCATGTGAGTGAGTAATACTAACTTCGATCTTTAATATAAGATCTCATTTGATTTTTATTTTGATTCTAAATATGAGATCCTAATCCACTTTATCTATCATATTTATGCATTTTTCTCAAAAAAATCCTTCTAATAATGATAGTTCTAGTCAATATATTTGATTCGTAAGGATATTTTAGAAAAAAAACACATATTCATTACAAAGAACTAATTTAACTTATTTTTTTACTCTTCTCAAATTATTCAGCTAGCTCTTATAATTAGGATCAGAGATAGTAATATTTTTAAAGGCCAAAAAAAAAAAGGGTCTAAAATGAGGGGGTTTTGTGTCTTTTGATTATTTCTGACAAGAAGGTCACGCTTTCATGTGAGAATGATTTTGTTCTCAGACTCTACGATACGCGTCACGTGCTTCCTTCTAAGTTCTACCCACTTCTTCATCTTCTCTCTCTAGACCTCCCTCCTTCCTCACTTTTCTTTTCTTCGGTTTTCTTTTTCCCTTAGACAACATGGCCATGCGGGAACCATTCCTCTTCAGGGGAAAAAAAAAACTGTACCCTAATTTGAAGAGTGAGAGAGGAGCAGGGCAAAAAAGAAAGAAAGAGACACGAAGGAGACAATTGGAGAAGGAGAGAAAAGTACAGAGATGATGGGTATGGGAAATGGCCTTGGTGGGCCTGCAACCTGCAACTCTCAAAGCTTTAGGGTAAAGGCTATGACTTGCTTTATATGGATCTTTCTGTTTATGCTTGAAACAAGAAAATGGAGAGGAAAGGGTTCGCTTCTCTTGCAACTTCATAAGACACATGAAAAAATAATTGAAAGTACAGAAGAAACCTATCTCATCAGCTAAGATGGCCTCATCTTAAAGGTCTCTCTCTGAATTGATGCTTTCTTTCTCTTTTCCCTGTCTCCAAAGCAATTGAAGTCACAT